TAGAATGAAATCAAACACATTAGTAAACAAAACGAATGCCCAGTTGGTTTTTAATAATCTACAATCAGGAGAGCAGTAAAACCCGCCCGTCCTATAGTTACTACTTTATAATTCAGCACTGCAACAAATACGCGGGACTTACTATATGATATCGCCCTAATCACCTCAAACTGAGAGAGAGTTGCCACGCGAGGCGTTATGGTCGACTCATGCAACTATGCGTCGTTACCTCCAAGATCTGTGCAATGCGTCATGAACATCTATAATTGTATACACATTATTATAACCTCTCTAGTGTTGTCGACCTGAATACTCTATTCTGCAGATGTTGAATACCAGACGGACTGGAGTGATGTATATGTGAATGCCACCACCGAGAGAGGTCGCATGCATATCTTGTGAGGCATACTCGAGTATCAACCTTAATGTCCTCAATATTTGAAATTCATAGAAATTAATTGGCAAGATAGAAGAACAAATTTCTCATTAGATAAGTATTAGTTCCTCTCAAACTGTGAAAGCGGCATATGTGCACACGTATTGCTACGTATCATCCCGTAAGTTGATTTGTATATCAACTGTATACATATACCACTATCCTCATAATAGAATACCAGGATTATATAAGTCTGTTGTTGTCATTACCTAAATAAATAAAGAACAACACCCTGAAGGAGATAAAAACAAGTATGCAAAACCTATATATAGACACAAAAAAAGCAAAGATATTAGTATGCACTCCTGAAACACGGCAATCACTCTATATCTCTTATCTGAGTGAATGTGTGGAGTCTACTACTCTCTGACACAGCACATATGCATCTCCGAAAATCATTCAACCCTGTTAATCGAGAGAGATCTCAGATGCGAGTCAAATAATCATTATGTTGCCACAGGCCAGTCATGTTTACTTACGAGATTTACTAAATTGAGATCATGATTTTCCTAATTGTAATTCTATTTCACGATTTCAAAAAGGCTAATACTGGAGTAAGGATTTAGCCCGATTATCCAATCATTTGCGAGTCTGATTCTTGGAAGAGCTGCGAGCCACGACAACACAAAGTGAAAACAATCATATATAAATGACGAGACATGCATATAGACTGAGAATAAAGTGCATATCCATCGTACACAAGACATGCATGATTTTACTCGTAGGTTATACAGTGAGAGAATAGAATCGCAGTGAGTAAGTATCAAGATAGATAGACGAAATAAATAGTATTTAGTTCATTGAATGGTATATGAACGAAGCCGTATTAAATAACGATATTTTTCATATAAGGATGCATTTTCATATATCCGGGCAAAATAGTAAGCTCTCTAATCTCTCATCTAGACGACTATTGAATACAACAGGAAAATACTCTAATCGCACGAGGACCCACCTAAACGTCAATATTATCGTGAAGGAGCGCTGACACAAGTCGTACTAACCAAATCCACAGGAGGAGAATTATGTGAAAATGCCTGATGACGCCTGTTTATCTATGACCAAACTATCTCTCTGCTTATTGATAACACTGCTTAGTCACTACTCATGCGTATTGGCTATGCTTTATTGTTAAATATCACTATATATAAATAACTACTAAAAGAAACAGTATCACGGTTAATTTTTTAATTTTAAGGGCTTTCCAATCTAGCAAAAGATTTCCAGTCATTGCCTGCGTCTATTACAGTATACAGAGGTTTATGAACTCGTTAAAATCACTATTGTTAAATTTTATCTTATGATAGCACTTATCTAAATTCGTTTATCAAAGAGTTGAGAACACTGTTCTATTTCACTCTGCTCTTTAGAAGGAGCTGCGCTAAAGATATGACTTCAATAATTACACAGATACTAAGTATATTTACGTGTGGAATATAAAAATAGGGTGTGTATGTTTATCTAATTATTAATTATATTTCGAATCGACGTAATTAGATGCGTTCTTGTTGCTAATGAGAAGATAAGACTAAGAAAAAGAAAACCTAATGGATCATTATTCATCGAAAGATGACTACGGCTAAAATATATCAATACTGCAAACGAATATATCAGAAAAAATAATGCGGATACCACCTAATCACACACTCTAATGAACACAGCATTAAGTGCTTCCCAATGTGTAGCTGGAAATTGTAGTTTATAACCTAATATATACAAAAACCATATTTCCAAATAAAAATATTAAATAACCAAATATCCCATATAATATTTTAATATAATAGCAAGTTCTAGTAGAAATATATAATAGTATATAAAATAATAATTGTAAAATATATACTAGTAATATATATATTATATATAACATATAACCAAAGAGTAACATATATCGATGTAAACATGCGAGAACACACACACAACAAAACACACTACACGACAACATCACATTCACAACAGCGTCCATCATCCACTGACACGCAATATAAACACGTGTACTACTATTACACAACATACGACCAATATTTAGATATAATATGGTTAATACTACCCTCTTGACCTCCACTAACACGTGTTTAATAAATAAACAGATATATACCCTGAGCGAGTATCACATATACAATATTAATTATTACCAGTACCTAACAATCTTATTGCACTCCTATATATGAAACTTACAGATGTTATAGATTAAAGAAGTCTATATAACCTATATTGAGTATATATATATAAATACTATATAGTATACATATATTAATATTACCAGTCATATATCTTTAATTTATACAATATATATTTGATATGCTTTGATGTTATAATCTAATATGACAGTATAGCAATACAATATATTATCATCACAATAGATTAGTATTCTAATACATAAATGGTAGGTTATTATTGTTGTCATACACACACCACGAACACACACACACACAACACACACAACACACATCATATAGTGTTATAGGTAGTAATATTTGTATGTATATACGTAATATTAATGTTATATTAATTATATATAATAATAACTTATTTATTGTTGTAGTATATATATTATAATATATATATATATTATTA